AGAGATCAATGCACAAATTATAGTAATATTTCATTTCTCTTTGTTTATATATATGTCAACACTTACCAATTTGGATCGACATAAATGATAATAAATTAAAGTTACTTAATTAAGTAGTTAAACATGGAATCCTAATTCTCAAACGTGGAAAATTTAAATAAAAAAAGATGTTTATTTATTTAGTATTCGTTAAATCTTTGAAGAAGATAATCTTCGTGTTGAATAGAAAATATTCTTTAATAATAAAAAAAATAAAATTCATTAACACTAGCACACACAATAATTTTTTTTTTAATGAGAATTGAGAATTGAAATTACTCATATTAGCATTTCTCTTTTAACATTCTTTCTTGTTCCCCGTTAAAAAGTGACACGTTGTTAAAAATATCATTCTCTCCTCATTGTTAGTTTTTCTCTTACGTATCACTTTTTTAATTGGAAACACAAGGGAAGGGCCAAAACAGTGGTTCCATTTCATCCATCTTGAAAATATAAAATTGAAAATCAATAATTAATCAAACTTCTTGTAGAAATTGCTGATGGCATTTCCTTTGGTGTAAGTTTTGTTTAGAGGGTACCAAAACTATCTGTGACTAGGACCACATAAACGATAACATGTGTTAATTTTGTCAGAACTTATATTTTTTAAGAATGTTTTAATATTTATTATTTAACTCTCATTAATTTATAACCTTTTAAATAATAGTCCCCATGCCTATTTAAACATGTTTTATCTTTTTCATCTCCCTACTCGTTTCATTTTCATTTTTTCTCTTCTCTTTGGTGCATCTCTGGCAAGCACCTCCCATTCTCTCCTCCGCTGCTGGACAATTTATTCTCCCTACGAAAGCACCATTTGCTTCTTCTGTCTGTTTCCAAGTCGCTGCATGAGTTAAAAAGGCTGCGTCTTTGACTTGGAATTGTGAATGGGGTTTCAGGATATGTGAAGAGGAACAGATCCGCGACGTTTTTTCTTTTGGCATTTTAAGTGAGAATAAGAAGTGGGTTTTGGTTTGCAGAGAGAGAAAGTGAAGAGAGAGTGAGAGAGGTTGAGGTTTATGATGTACGGAACTTTGTGCAGCAATTGCAAAGGGTGGTGGCGTTTCGGTGAATCTTTCACATGGAATGGTGCTTGGCATTTTAAGTGGGAATAAGAAGTGGGTTTTGGTTTGCAGAGAGAGAAAGTGAAGAGAGAGTGAGAGAGGTTGAGGTTTATGATGTACGGAACTTTGTGCAGCAATCACAGAGGGTGGTGGCGTTTCGGTGAATCTTTCACATGGAATGGTGCTTTTCGTAGGGAGAATAGATTGTCCAGCAGCGGAGGAGAGAATGAGAGGTGTTTGCCAGAAATGTGCCAGAGAGAAGAGAAAAAATAAAAATGAAACGAGTAGGAACGG